CGTGGCTCCAGAGCCGTTTTTCCGTGGCTTTTGGCTTTTAAGCCTTTTCAGGTGGCTGGATCAATAGGAAGGGCAGACAACCATAGCGACCATCAACAACCACGCCCTCCTATCAGCTTTTAATTAGCTTACCTAAAAGCTCGTTCGCCGATTAGCAGGAATCCCTGTTCTCGTTTCTTAGTTATCTCTTTTAAAGGAGCTATGCCCGTTTTTATCTGGTTTTGCCTCCGTTTTTAACAGTACCTAGATAGCAGTTTTTCTCTCAGTTAATCTAACACCGTTACCGCCACCCCCCCTTTTTACAACACGCGCTTAAAGGCATCCGTTCGTTATTAATCAGTTTATTTCAACCGTAAGAGGCTTACCATCCGATTGCCCTTATTTTATCCCTTCCAGCCAGATACGGCACCTAGGGAGGTTTCTCCCTAACCGATAAGGTGCCACGATGCCCTCAATTACCACACGAAGATACCGACAGACCTTATACCCACGAACCTGATCGGGGAACCTACCGATTAACGCGAGAAACCTATAGACGATACCGAAACGAACGAATTAAACAGGATATTAAATAAGAAAGCCTAGGAAAAAAAAATAGTCACAAGTCACAGTCGAGAACAGTTACAGTATTACCCAGAGACCCCTCTTGTCGCCCTTACCGATATATGGTTGGTAGGAAGAGCCAGAGCCCCTAGAACCACGTACAGGGGAGGGATCGAGGGTTAAGGGAAGCCCGGTAGATACTACCGGACGAATAACGGTCATACGAGAACAGTCAGATACGAATCAGAAACGGAAACAGTCGAGCATGAACAGGATATATCAGTCAGTTTACAGGATCAGGATCAGTTAAAAGGATCGGTAACAGTTATAAACGAGAAGGATAGGATTACGTTACATCGTATGGGGATTATTTCTTTCGTTTCTTACGGGAGCTACGCTTGTTTTACCTACCCGTTATAGTTCCTATTTTCCTAACGGATCCCTGTTATTTCTTGATGGCCCTAATGGACCTAGCTCGCTCCTAGTTAATTAGGGTTAATTAGGAATAGGTTAATTAGGTTAGTTTATAGGTTATAGCTCCGCTAGCCTAGTTCTTATTATTAGATCTTTCCTATTTCCTATTAATTATTAATTAAACTAGCTTAGCTCCTAGTTAGTAGCGATTAAATAGGTTCGGGATTAATCAGGAATTAGGTTTAGTTAGGTACGGCTGCAGTTAGTTACCTACCCTACCACCTACTTATTGTAGTTATAATTATCTCCCGTTATTTTAGGATTACCTGTTTTCCTGACTTATCCTGTTGGCCTTTAATTGAACTGGCTAGCTTTTAGTTAATTAGGGTTAATCGGGATTAGGTTGATTAGGTTGTTTAGGATTAATAGGAACGAGAGCCACCGCACTTATTATTAGGAGTTTAATTACTCCTTACGGATTAATTAAACTAGGGAGGCTATAATAGTACGGTAGATCTAGGCCACGTAGCCTTTTCGATATATATTTATATGGGTCGCGTACTTATATTTTCATTAGCTAGACTTAGACCTATAGATATCACGACCTATAGCTATTTACTCGTTTCTTACTATGCCTTTCTAGCTATCCTCCTTTTATTCTTTTCTAGTTCCCCTTTCCTAGCTACCGTTTTAGTTAGCCGATTAACCGATTATAGCTATTTATAGCTGTAATTTTAATTAATCGGTACTAGGCTAGTTATTAGTAGTTAGGTAGCCCTTTTCGTGCCTCCGTTAGCGTGCCTACGCTACTCCTGTTTAGTAGCGACTATTTAATAGCCCGAGCCGTAACCTTAGCCTTAGGAGCGACCTTTTAATCGACCGTTTTATAGTTAATAGGTTTAGGATACGACGATTAGGAGATTCCCTGTTTTTCAGTTAATCAGGAGCTATTTTCGTAGCTCCAGAGCCGTTTTCGTAGCTTTTGGTCTAAATTTTCAGGTTAGGATTAACGGGAGGGCAGATAACCATAGCGACTATCAATAACCTACGCCCTTCCATTAGCTTTTGATTAGCTTACCTAAAAGCTCGTTCGCCGATTAGTAGATCTATCTTATCCTCGTTTCTTAGTTATCTCTTTTAAAGGAGCTATATCCGTTTTTACCCGGTTTCGCCTTCGTTTTTAACAGTACCTAGATAGCAGTTTTTCTCTTAGTTAATCTAACTCCGTTACCGCCACCACCCCTTTTTACAACCTCGTACGCGCTTAAAGGCATCCGTTCTTTACCGATCAGTTTATTTCGATTACAAAAGGCTTACCGATAGCTCCGATCGCCCTTATTTTATCCTTGCTAGCCAGTTACGGCACCTAGGGAGGTTTCTCCTCCCTAACCGATAGGTACTACGATGCCCTTAATTACCACGAAGATACCGACAGACCTTATACCCACGAACCTAATCGGGGAACCTACCGATCAGCGCGATAGACCTATAGACGATACCGATACGAACGAATTAAATAAATATTAAACAAGAGAGCCTAGGAAAAATAGTCATAAGTTATAGTTGAGAATAGTCATAGTATTACCCAGAGACCCCTCTTATCGCCCTTACCGATATATAGTTAGTAGGAAGAGCCTAGAGAGCCCCTAGAACTACGTACAAGGGAGGGATCGAGGGTCAAGGGAAGCCCGGTAAATGCTACCGGACGAATAATAGTTAGAACGGTTAAACGAATCATAGTCGGGCATAAATAGAATATATTAGTCAGTTTATAGGATCAGGATTAGTTAAAAGGATCGGTAATAGCCATAAACGAGAAGGACGGAAATTACGTTACATCGTATGGGATTATTTCTTTATTTCTTACGGGAGCTACGCTTATTTTACCTACCCGTTATAGTTCCTATTTTCCGATTAATTCCTATTATTTCTTAGTAGCCCTAATGAACCTAGCTCGCTCCTAGTTAATTAAGGTTAATTAGGAATAGGTTAATTAGGTTAGTTTATAGTTACAGCTCCGCCAGCCTAGTTCTTATTATCAGGTCTTTCTTATTTCCTATTAATCGTTAATTAAACTAACTTAGCTCCTAGTTAGTAGCGATTAAATAGGTTCGGGATCGGTTAGGATTAGGCACAGTTAGGCACGGTTGCAGTCACCCACCCCACCACCTACTTATTACTGTTGCAATCGTTCCTAGTTAGCCCTATTTCCTAACTTATCCTATTAGCCTTTAATTAAACTAGCTAGCTTTCAGTTAATCAGGGTTAATCGGGATTAGGTTAATTAGGTTTAACAGGAACGAGAGCTACCGTACCTATTACTATTAGGAGTTTAATTACTCCTTACGGATTAATTAAACTAGGGAGGCTGTAGTAGTACGGTAGATCTAGGCTACGTAGCCTTTTCGATGTATATTTATATAGGTCGCGTACTCATATTTTCATTAGCCAGACTTAGACCTGTAGACATCAGGACCTACAGCCATTCACTCCTTTTGCCATGCCTTTCTAGCCATCCTCGTCTTTACCTTTCCAGTCTCCCCTTTCCTAGCTGCCGTTTTCAGCTGGCCGATCAACCGATTACAGCTGTTTACAGCTGTGATCTAGGTCTGATCGGCACTGGGCCAGTTATTGGCAGTTGGGTAGTCCTCGTTTCGTGCCTCCGTCAGCGTGCCCACGCTGCTCCTGTTCAGTAGTTACGGAATAAATTTATACTATCGCTTAATATCTTAGCCGCGCTATCGATACTAGTAAGGATCTCATAAGAGCTAGGACGATTAGATATTTTATCGAGTTATTAGCCTTTAATTACTTATACCTATATTAATATTATAAAAACGTAAGCTTATCTTTCGCCTTACGACTATTATATTAATATATAGCTTACGTTAATAACCTACTATAAGCTCGCTACGAAAGCAAGCGATAGTAAGAAAGTACCGTAATTAAAAGAATACTTATTTAAATAAAGTACGGATTAATAAAGTAATATATAAGTTATATTTATAATCGAAAATAATAAGGAATTAAAAAGGAGCGTATCTAATTAGTTCTAGATATGGCTCTATAGAAGAAAAGAGGAGAGGGAGAGAGCTACTACGAAAGAGTAAGAGAATTTTCTCATATGGTATAAGAGCTCGAATATAAGGAGGAGCGTTACCGGGTACTAACCTAGTAAAGCTACGAAAGGGTCTACGTACGATAGTAATAATATAAAGCGACGTAATAAGAGCCCTTATACGCGTATAACGAATACGATAAATATACTTAATTAAGAGTTACGATATATCTCTTCTATCGGGATATTAAGAAAAGATAATATAGTAGCTAATTAAAAGGATATTCTAAGCTATTAGGAGTATTATATAAAGGCTTTAGTAATTAAAGCGACGAATATATTACCCTAAAGAATTAACGAAGCGAGTAAGGCTCGAGCTAACCTAGGACTTCTATTAGGAGGGTAGCTAAGTTAACTATCGCGAGCCTTTCGGTTAAGTTACTATTATTATTTAGCTAAGCTCGTTATCGCGAGCCTAGCTAGGGGATATATTACGTAAAAAGCTACCTATATATAGCTCCTTACTTCTTCTTTTGTTACTCGCTTACCTAACATAGCTCCTAGCTCGCTTATATAACATAGCTCGTAGCTCCTTATTATCTATATATAGGTAGCTCGTATTTCCTTTATTCATCTCCTTCCTTCTTAAATAGTTAGTTAATTTACCTTCTTCTTCCTACCTTTTGTTACTTCTAAGAAGTAACCTTAGTGCCTACATAGCTCTCCCGATCTACGTAATATAATTATATATATTTTAATTTATAAATATTATAATTATATGTTAAATTATATATTTCTTTTTTAATTACTCTTTTTATATTTTAATTTAATTTAAAAATCTTTACTATTATAGTTAGCTCGTTAATAGGTTATAGTTATGTATAATTATAATCTTACTTAATTAGTACTTAGCTTATTACTAATAGCTAAGTTGTTTCTTTTTACCTAAGTTCTCTTTATAACATGCTTATATTAAAGAAATTGAGTTTAATATTTTATTATAATCCTACTATATTACTATAATAAAAAAACGACAGCTGTTCTATTTCCGTATACGCCCCGGAGGTTATAGGTAGATTAATTTAATTACGAAACTTCAGACTTTCATACTGTTCTGTTCTCCCTCTCCTCTCGTTTCCTTTAGCTCTTGGTTTGTATGCCTTGCTGATACGATCGTGGCGTCGCCGAGAACCTGCAAGGAATCCATTTCCTCCTTTGCTTCAGAAACTTCCTTGTTGTCCCTGCTCCTTGCTATCTCCCGATGTGTCCGCTTCTCGGCTGGTATGTGATCGTTGATCTCATCCCAGGCCCTCCTTCTCGCTTGGGCCGTCTGTGCCTGTCCCCTGCTCTTTGCAATCTTCCGCTCCATCCTCTCCATTACTATAATAGCACGGTCTTGTTCCTTCTCGTGCCGTCTCCGAGCTTTAAAGCTTAGGCTTTTGCTTTTCTTTGCCTTCTTGCACACACCAGCTCCATTGTGTATCGACAGCACAGAAGGTCGGCTGTGGACCGATTCTGCAGGAGGTTGGATTCCCTTTAGAGACTTATCTGTGTTGATGCTGGGAGAAGTTGCGCGCCTTGCTGCTCGGGAATGGATTGAAGAGCCCAAATCTAGGAGTCATTTTGATACATTATCAGCTATTCGAACTTGCGTCGGAAAAGGCAGGCAATGATAAGTTTAGATTTTACTCACTGTTCCTTCTTCCTGATATCGCGCCTTTAGCCATGGTTGCTTAGGATTCGTATCTTAGCTAGAAGAAGGTGAAAACAATTGCTTGTTAGTGTCAACCATAGAGACCGGCACAAAGGTATTAATATCTTTCAAAGCTTTAAATAAGAGACTCAAATTTTATATATATTAAAAAAAGAAATAAAAAGTTTATAATAAGAATAATTATTTATATAGCTCATTTATATATTGAATAAAAATTTTAAACTTAAACATATTAATTTTAAAATAATTTTCAAATGAAGATTATTTATACATTTTACTATTTATTTAAATTAATAGTATTAATATAATTTATATTGTTAGTAATAATATATAAATTACTAATATATTAATAAAATTAATATATAAAAATATTAGTAATTCTTTTTATCTTTATTAGTTATAAAATCTATAAAATGTTAAATCAATTTATAAAAATAAAATAAATAAATATTATAAATATTAAAGTTTTAAATTTAAAATAATTAAAGTAATTTTAAAGTAGTATTTATATATTAAGATAATTTAATTAATATGTTTTGTTATTTTGCCTATTTCTTTGGCAAAAATTTTCCATTACGTAGCCTTTGTTTGTTTTATACTACCCTCTTCGATTGTGTAGGCAATGTTCTGTCGTCTAGATAATTATATCCAGGCTGGACGGACACTTCGCGATATTGCCGAACGCACTGCTACCTCCTCGTCCTTATTACCAGTCAAACCTTACCAGAGACCAACCGACTCGTCATCATGGCCGGCCTATTCACTCTTTCGGAAGAGTCGAAGGAGCGCATTGGGAAAATCATTGATATCGGGAGAGTTGCCATGCATTAGTACGAGTCACCTCTTTCTTTGACTAGCTAACGGTAGACGGGCTGTCGTCGCAGGAATGTTCCACCTACTGACATTTGTCCGCCAGCGGCTATCTACCTCTGATACTCTACCTTGGTATGCTTTACCACCACCAACAATTGCACTGGCACCAATACGCTTCTGCAGCCGAGCCGAGATCTGACTGGGAGTAAAAATAGGCTACACACGCAGCGACCCACGACCCTCAATCATCCGGTCCGTATATCCTGATCCTAAATCTACGATCGACATTACCTTGCGACGCTACTGACTCGAAGCATAGGCTGCTGTCCCCCCTCTCCTAGTTGCATGCGTAACGGGATTACTGGACTTGTTCGCTCATCATGGGTTCGCTCAAGCATTCGTGAAAATAGCATCGGATTTCCGGTAATACGCAGTGGGAGAGACCGGCACTACGGGGAATCTATACCGAGCACCAATGTTCCGTCCCCTGTGCCTGATCCGTGTATAGTATAACGAATAGAGCCCTGCGTACCACTCCGTATAGCGATTTGTTCCCTCAGGATGAGAGCCTCGACCGAACTGGGAGCCGATCGCGGAAAGGCATAGAATGAGATTTGATATGCACAAACGCATTCCATGAACTGCCGTAGCTATGGTGAGACGGTTGAGGCGAGGGAAGAACGATTAAAAGGGGCAAATACTGTAGAATCCCGAGAAGTACTATCTAGCTAGATTAAGCGGCCTGAGCCCAGTACAGATTCCAACGTTGTAGCTGAGCCTGCCATAGGATACAATGGATCAGTCTTCGTCTTCCTTCTCGAGGACCCTCGAGTGCCCTTAGAGGAGAGAGCACAGGTGATGCCTCCTCCCAGGCTATACATCAATATGAACCACGCATCGCCCGTTATTCTACCCCTCGTTATTCCGTCGCACATTGAGCAATAGACCGTCCGGGGCGTTCCGCGTGCTACCTATGATGCGGACGTCAGAGGGACAAATTGTAGCTATACTCATCCTCGATGTTCTGGCTGATCCACAGGACGACGGAGCTCAGCATGACGAGGGCGTTGGCGACGACGTTCTCAATGCCCATGGTCTTCATCGGCCAGTCTACATCACGCACGACAAACTTGAGCACGAACACGGTGACGCCGCCCGCCATGCCGCCCGCAAGAGCGGCAAACCCTAGGAAAAGCACCACGCGCGCCTTCCAGGCCACGCCGGACCCCGAGTAGCTGAAGGAGTCTGCCGACAAGCGCGCCTTCTCCACCGAGTTGATGATCAACATCCCCAGGGAGCTGAAGATGAGCGGCAGCCAGTCGATGAACGTCACGTGCACGTCCGACCCATTCAGGAGCGACTTCGACCACGCCGCCGCGTCGATCATGATGTAGAAGGCCAGGGAGAACTGTGGACGGAGAAGGAGGGATCGGGATACCGGTTAGCTGATTGCTCGGACAAGAAGACGTCAGACGCGGAGGCGGGATGGGCGATCGGGGAGAGTTGAGTAGGATGGTCTAGATGTCTGTAACGCACCAAAGCACCCGCGGAATAGACCCCGGCACTGCGTGCCCAAGCGCTGTTGAGCCAGGCTGGCCTAGGGAATTTCCAGAGACGGCCCTCATCCATGGTTCTCGGGGAGTCGATCGGTCGATGGTGGGTGAACGGCGGAGGTGATCGGAAGACGGGTGCGGAACTCGACGATACGCGCGGTACAAAGGGAACAAGAAGGGAAGGGAAAAAAACACGGGATGATCACTTGGGTGGAGAGTTCAGTCGACAGCGTTGCGGCACGTTGGCAGGTCGGGTGAGCGAGATCGCGCTTAAGCTATACCTCGGTGTTAGATGGGGCTCGAGGTTACAGGACCAACTGGAACGAGACTGGGGAATGCTGAGGCAGATCAGCCTCGTCAGAGCAGGCACGTGATCCCGCAGGGGCCTTGCCCGTCCGTTTGCCGTGCTATCCAGAGCATGTACCATGCACTTACAAGACGTACAAGCCAGCACCTAAGGTACCTCCCCAGATAGGTACCTAGGTACGTTCAGTCAGTACGCCGAATGGCGGTCGCAAAGCCTTCTCTCCTCGTAGTTAAGGGAGGCATGTCTCTTGACGAGATGGGGTCCGGTGCCTTTGTGCATATACATATATTGGGTGCGTGCAGGTACCGTGTCTTGCCATACATCGTCAGGGGGGAATGCGATAAACGGCCGGCCCTACTCGGCGGGAATAGGTCCCTGCGTCCTGACTGTCCTCCTCGCTATGCGCTTCCGGCTCGTATTCCCGTTCATAATTGATATTAAAAGCTGCTCAGCTCTGCCGCTATCTATGCCTTCGTACCCCGTCGCAAGCTGGCTCGTCCTGGCAGCGCTTCGTAGTGCCGTTGCGTGGCGAAACGTGGCCGGGCCGAGCATGCTACCACCAACGCCTACAGTATTAGAATGCGGTTTTCCTGAACGCCTAATCCAGACTATCGGCGGCGTGAACAACCCCCTGCCCCTCCTTTCCTAGGATGCTTATAGAGACTACCCTCCCATCAATGATACCTACACCTGCAAATGCAACCGCTACCAGCATGCCCACCACAGCTTTCCTTGGTAAACTTGACCAGTTTGATCGAGTACGTTCGCTACGCACGTCAGCGGGGAAGTCCACTTTAGGATTTGCTCTTGAAGAGATCTGGAGAGCAACAGATGTCTTCCTGAAGCCGGGACCCTGGAAATTGTCTGACTGCCGTGACTACTGTGACGAAGCCCCGTAACGTCGACGGGATGATCCGGTCCCAGGACCTTGTATTACGCGAGAGACTGTTGTATGCAGGCCTTGGTGGTAGGGATCGCGGGCGTTATCAGAAGAGGATCCCTTCGCATGGCTGCATGTGGTTGCGTGCAGAGCTGTTCCCATCCACTTCTGGCCCATGTCCGGGCGTTGAATACTACCCGTTGCTATCCATTCGACACTTCGCCGTAGTAGGATTATCTGCTTTTGCAGGTCCACGAACAGTTGGATCAAATTTCAATCGTCTTCATGCCGTCATCCATTCCCTGGTCACCATCACCAACGACCGTAGCGGTGTGAGGGGGAATCGAATCTTTCCCTGTAGCTTCCGCCCCAACGGGAACTTGTACATCCTGTTTTATCTCGTCGCTTGGCCGAGGCGTCTCGACTTCAACAAGCTTGGGTTGCTTTACGCCATTGTTGCTAGGGTGGGAATCAGGAGTCGATATTTCCTCGGTGACGCGCGCAAGTGCGGCGGGCTTCCCAAAGCCTGGGCGAACAGGACTGCCAAGTGGCGACGGGTTGCTCAGTCGCTGCAGTGTGCGCCCGCGAGGTTCTCCAACGCCATCCGCAGGACCGGCGTAAGGGGACCCCCCCGGAGAAGTTGCACTACCAACGAGAACGGACCTACGCTTCGCCACCACCTTGGCGCTGCGTCCATGCTTCTGATCCATCCTCCACCGCAATATATCAAAATAAGACGGTTCGACGCGGCTCGTCTTGAATTCACGTAGCTTGAGCTCGTTCGAGTCCTCGTTGACGAACCACTTCCCGCTATTAAGATCATCCGCGACTATGCCAAGAAAATGGGCCCAAGATTTCGCAACCACGTACTTCGTGTCATAATCCCGGCCGAACAAGATGATCTGGCCCCAGGTACCGGTTAACCCGGGGGCGAGGTCCACAGCAAGGTTGTTGCCACCCCAATCTCGCACGAGAGGGATCCAGGCGGGATGCGCGTACGACCGCTGAACGGCGCCTTCGGGCACGGAGTCTTGACGAGCTTGAAGCTCCTGTCTCCACGAGTCTTTCTGGGAACCGGGTGAGCCGGGGGCGGACTTGGAAGAGGACGCTTGGTTACTCCCGCCAAATGCCTTGGATGGTACAGCGGGCTTCGCGACCGACGACTCGAGGAGGTACTGCTGGTTGACTTTTCGCCATTGATCCCATTCTTGGACAATTTCTTCGCAGTCGAGAAGCATAGAGCTAAAAATGATCCCGGTTGGTCTGCCGCCACGTTCCTGCCCATCATGAACCGCTAGAGAATCCCTCACATCCTGTGGTAGCGAGCAGTCGAGTTGATGTTCCAGCTCATTCAAATCGTTGTCTGTGCAGCCCTCGCACAGTTGGTCGAAGAGTTCAGGATAATTCTCCTCCGCCCATTTATCTATCCGTTTCCACGAGTGGACCACTGGGGGTGCTGGGGGTCCACCATCTGAAAACGACTGCATCGGAATCTCACCGGGGCTACTGACGGTCTCAAACCCATCATCTTTGAGACTCTGTCGCTGGGCGTTGGAAGATCTCAAGCCCGGAGAGTATGGGCCGTTGGAGCCGGGTGATAGCGGAGAGGGGTGAAGGGACGTTGCGCCGTCTACGCCGGCAGATAGCCGACCCAGTTCGTCGACATACGGAGATGTGATGTCAGCGCGGGACTCCGAGGCAGTAGCCACCGAAGTGAGGGTGCTCTGCCTGTTCAGAGGTATGTGGCGGCCAGTGCGATGGGGAGAATCGTAGGTGGAATCTAAACGACAGGATTAGAAGCCGCTAAACAGGGCCACAGGCTTAGTAGACTCACGTCGATCGTTGGTGGTCATCGCATGCCAGAACGAGCGAAAGGCACCTCCGAGCCTTGATTACCCCATCATGTTAGCCGGCTTGAAATGCGAGGGGGGTGGGGTCAGGGTAGAATAGGTGGACGTACGACATCTTGAAAGCGTGCTGTGTACACGTAGTATTGGTTACCTGCTGCGATATTCCAGGGCGGTGAGATGCGACAGTAGCCGGCACGGAAATCCAGCAATTGAGAATTTGTATTCGACGATATTATGTCGGGCAACTTGGCGAGCGATCGCGCGATGGCGCAAGGGAGAAGAGAATGGCAGGCAGACAGACTATAGACGCAGACGTGTCCCGACAGGAGGAGCGATCGCGCATGCCCGAATGAAGACAACGTGAGCTGCTGGAGAGGTGCCGGGGAACGGAGGAGCGCGAGGGTGATGGAACAAATTAATGGAAGAATGACAGCGTACGTTCCACGGTCCCCCTGTCGTAAAAAAAAAAGGGGCTTGGCAGGATGGATCGCAGCGGTAAGGAACAAGCACCAGACTCTTCTTCTTACCCCTTTTTGTTCCGATGTTGAGGCGCCGATGGCTAGGCCACCACACCCCTCTTTCCCACGGAGAACTGGCCAGCTAGAACAGCTGAATGAGATGTCGGTTCGAGGCGAGAAGTGATTGGATTTCGAGCAGGTTGCTTGCTGGCTGGCTCACTTTCGGGTATCGGGTCTCCGAGCACTACCGGTTCCGGCTCTGGCCTGGGAGATGAGGAGCGAAACTTTTCGTATAACGAGCGTAATGCTGGAGTGTTTGCCGTGTACAATAGCTGGGGTTGTCGTCAGGAATGAGGAGAGAGAAAATAAAAAACGAGCGAAGCTACCAAGGTAACGAACAAGAGGAAGAGAGAATGATTTTGTTTCCTAACCCTGAAATGGAGTTGGACGTAGGCTGGGCATGGAGGGTCGAAGGAAGGCCGCGCTTAACGCAGACTTCATAAAACTAATAACAATTCACGCGCCTATATATTATTTTACGAAAGTAATAAAAAATTATTCATTATTCTTATTCTTATTATTCTTATTATTCTTATTATTCTTATTATTCTTATTATTCTTATTATTCTTATTATTCTTATTATTCTTATTATTCTTATTATTCTTATTATTCTTATTATTCTTATTATTCTTATTATTCTTATTATTCTTATTTTTATTATTTTCAATAATCTTATATTGATAATAATTTTATACTTTATATATATTTTACTAATTATCTATAACTTATTAACTTTCTAATATTCATAAGCTTTAATAAATATTTTAAATTTTATAGAATTTATAAAGTGGAATAAATTCTTTATTTATTACTTAATTTATAAAAAATTAAAAACGTTTTTAGCTTTTGAATGCGTATTATAGATTTAAATTCTTTAATTTAATTAACTTAACTTTAATATTATAAGATGAATTTAATTATTAATAATTTATTTCATCTATTCTTTATTTTTTTTATTTAAGATAATAAAGTTGAAACTTTTATTTTTAACTCTAAACCTTATAAAGAGCCTCTTTTCTATATAGAATTTTACGCAGTGTAGCAAAGTAGTTATATTAGTATTTTGAAACTCTTATCTCGTTTTGCTTACAGTACTTAACCTAGGATTACAGTATGTAATACATGCACAGCTACGAGTAACGGCTCCATACTACTATTGCTATTGCGACAAGAGCCCCTGAATGAATCGTCTTTCCTGGTCTAAATTCAGCAGGACTACTGTTCGTGTAAGGAACCCTTGACATGGCACACAGGCGCTCCATTGGCCGAATTAGTAAGGTTGCAAAGGAGGAACCATCCATCTCACGGCAGGCAATACTTACCTCCTCGCAGGCGAATCGAGCGTGAGAGGAGGATTCGCCTGCGCGTGCGTTGGTACCTTGGCGGGATATTTCGTATGTACACATAATGTTGTTGGTGTTGCCAAACCACGCCGTGCCCCGTGCGACACGCCTGGTTTGGATTGCACTCAGCTCCCACAGGGATACAGGTTTCTGATGTATGTTGCTTTGGGGTGCTAGCCACATATCTTTTTAAGTGTGTATGACTTCTAGCAGCAAATCTGCTTGCCTGGTGTGGCGACAAGCGTGTTGGGCAAACCCAACTGACGAGGAATAAGATAGGGGCCGGTTGATAATTACCCGGAGGTATGGATACACCCCTATTGTTAGTTGCGATAATGACCGCTGCTGCATGGCGTGTTCGGAGATCGCCAGCACGGGAATGAATCGAGGACCCCATTGCCGAACAGGCTCGACGGATAAGGTAGAGCGCTAATCCGGGCAAACCTATACATACCTACTATCAGCTTATTTCATTCTGAGATGCCGCCAGACGCTATCGTCCTAGCAGAATCAAGAGCAGAAATATAAAAGTAAATATAAAAAAGAAATTTATAAAACGTAGCTTAGAAAGTGTTGAATCATATCTATTTAGGGTTTTTATACATTATAGCTTAAGCTGTTTATCTAAATTATCTAGGTTATAGTAGTAAGGCTTATCTCTAAGGCTATATATAACCTCCCTATCGCATTTATACACACTCTCAACTTCAGATAAAGCTATCGTAACCTACCTAGTATCGTAATCTTTTAAATTTTCTAATATTTTTTATTATTCTGTAGTATTACTTATTACTTTCATGATAGTAAGGTTATTATAAATATATTATATATAATAGTTTTATGAACATTTAATATTTCTACACCTTTCACGATTTCGTAAAGTCGTTAGTAACCTTCTTAACTAATAATTAATATTAAATCATAATAACGTCTCTTTTTAAATTGTCATTAAACGTAATAATACTTTCTCTAAACGTACTAATTTTATTAGTTTATAATTATTACTTTAATTTATAAACTAATCATTATATAATTATATAATAACATAATATAGTAGTATTATAGGACTAGGCTACGTAGTGTAGTGGTGCGGTGGATCTAGGCCACGTAGCCTTTTCGATGTTTATTTATATGGGTCGCGTACTTATATTTTCATTAGTTAGACTTAGACCTGTAGCTATTACAACCTACAACTATTTACTCGTTTTTTGCCATGTCTTTCTAGCGATCTTCGTTGCCTTATTTCTAGTCTTTCTCCTTCTCTCCTTTCCCAGCTGCCGTTTTAGCTGGCCGATTAACCGATTATAGCTATTTATAACTGTGATCTTAGGTTGATCGGCACTGAGCTAGTTATTAGTAGTTAGGTAGTCCTTGTTTCGTGCCTCCGTTAGCGTGCCTACGCTGCTCCTATTCAGTAGCGACCACCTAGTAGTTCGAACTTTACCTCATCTTAGGAGTGACCTTTTGCGACCGTTTTTGCAGTTACTAGATTTAGGATACGACGATTAGGAGATTCCCTGTTTTTTAACTAATCAGGAGCTGTTTTCGTAGCTCCAGAGCCGTTTTCGTGGCCTTTGGCCTTAGCTTTTTAGGTTAGGATTAATAAGGAGGGCAGATAATTATGGCGACCATTAATAACCACGCCCTCCCATTAGCTTTTGATCAGCTTACCTAAAAGCTCGTTCGCCGATTAGTAGATCTATCCTATCCTCGTTTCTTAGTTGTTTCTTTTAAAGGAGCTGTACCTGTTTTTATCTGGTTTTGCCTTAGTTTTTCAAGTGCCTAGATGGCTGTTTTCTTAGTTAATCTAACTCCGTCACCGCTACCACCCCTTTTTTATAACAACCTCGCACGCGCTTAAAGGCATCCGTTCGTTATTGATTAGTTTATTTTAACCGCAAGGGGCTTGTCATCTCGATTGCCTTTGTTTTATCTCTGCTAGCCAGTTACGGCACCTGGGGAGGTTTCTTCTCTCCAACCGATAGGTGCTACGATGCTCTTAATTGCCACACGAAGATACCGATAGACCTTATACCTACGCTATAAGCCTGATCGGGGACGTACCGATTAGGATTAAAGACCTATATAGACGATACCGCGATACGAGATAGATACGATATTAAATAAGATAGCCTAGGAGATTAAGAATAGCCATAGGAATAGTAATGCCTAGAGACTTCTCTTATCGCCCTTACCGATATATGGTTAGTAGGAAGAGCCCAGAGAGCCTCTAGAACCACGTATAAGGGAGGGATCGAGGGTCAAGGAAAACCCGGTAGATGCTGCCGGACGAATATAGGAACGGTTACACGAGAATAGTTAGGAAACGGGCCTTGAATAAGATATATTACGTTAGTTTATAGGATTAGAATCAGTTAAAAGAATCGCTAAAAGATAGTTACGAACGAAAAGGACAGAGATTACGTTACATCGTATGGGATTATTTCTTTCGTTTCTTTCGGAAGCTACGCTTATTTTACCTGCACCGTTGTAGTTTCTGTTTCCTAACTATTGATCTCTGTTATTTCTTAATGGCCCTAATGGACTTGGCTCGCTCCTAGTTGATTAGGGTTAATTAGGAATAGGTTGATTAAGTTAGCTTACAGGTTACAGCTCCGCTAGCCTAGTTCTTATTACTAGATCTTTCCTGTTTCCTATTGATCGTTGATTGAACTAGCTTAGCTCCTAGTTAGCAACGATTGAATAGGTTCGGGATTGATTAGGAATCAGATTTAGGATTAGGTACGGTTGCAGTTAGTTACCTACCCCACCACCTACTTGTTACTGTTGCCCTTTTTTTATAGTCTTTCTCCTTTCCTAGCTGCCGTTTTTAGCTGGGTGATTAACTAATTAAAGCTATTTATAGCTATAATCTTAGTATGATCGGTACTGGGCTAGTTGTTAGCAGTTAGGTAGCCGTTTCGTGCCTGCATTATAACGTGCCTGAGCTGCCCCTGTTTACTAGCCCTCGATATTAACCGCTACCCTGAACAATTAATTATATACTATATTTCAAGCGAGGTTAATAACGTTTATAATAATTAAAATAACCCCCTTATAATCGTTTATTTACGATATAGAAAGCGTACTAAGGAGGAGCAGAGCGTACGCGATACTAAAAGCCCGGATAAGCTTACTCGAAAGTATACTCTATCGAAGACTATAGCTCGTACGATGGTCTAAGATAAATAAAACTAGTACCGCTATATTAATCGAGAGATAAGGAATCTAATGTAGTTATTATATCTTAGCTATGCTCTTTAGTTATAGAAATGTAGTGGTCGTTAGCCCGAAGGCATAAGAGGTAAGAGGAGAAAAGGGGTAAAACGTAAAAGTTACTTATTCGGTTATAATAGTATGACGAAATAACTTAAGCGCCTATAATTAAGATAGATATATTAATCGAGGAACGACGAA